AGCTCTGATGGTTTAGATTTTATTTAGCTTTGAGGTTGAGTGTAAAGGGGGGCGCTAACCTGATGACGCGCAGTGTATATACTTTATGGGGTCTGCGATGATTGCTTCTGCCTGTTACATACTTTTCACAAAACCAATATACCCTGATTTTCCATTTCCCATTTTCTATGGGTTCAGGGTATAAAAACAGCAAATATCAGCTGTCTATTAATTCTTTGCAAAATACAATCATTAGTTGAAAGGAGATGGGAAAAAGCTAACGGGACATGAAATTCAAATGAGGCTCGCGGCGTCTATTTTCACAAGTCTTCCGTAAATTCATTCGTTTTAAAAAAGTCTTGGAATCACTACCATTTCTCATAAAATTTGAATTTTCGCAATGCCTGGTAAACGCACCGATAACAATTTGATACAATTAGTGTATTTTAATTATATCAAAGGTATAACCATCAAGGAGTTAGCTGAAATGTTTACTATTAAGCTTGGAACAGTTTATAATATTATTAATCGGGCAGAAAAAGAAAATAGACTGGAACTAAACAGCCCTAAAGGCAGAACAAAAAAGCTCTCGACGGGATTGTTCACAAATTCTTCTATTCTTGATCAGGGCGACGAGCTGAGTTGATTTAGCCCTGTCCGTCTGCCTGCCTGTTCGTAGGCTTGAACGCGTCGATCCCAGAAGATATAAGAGCTAGAGACATGAATCTTTTTAGTATATATATAGCGCGGATGTCGAGTATATCTTCAAAAATCGATAAATCATCCCGTTATTATACCCTGAACCCATTGAAAATGGGAAATCAGGATATAATGGTTTTGTGAAAAGTATGTAACAGCAGAAGGAATCATCGCAGACCCCATAAAGTGTATACATTCTTGATCGGGACGACAAGCTGGGTCGATATAGCCCTGTCCGTCCGTATGAGTGCGTCTATCTCAGAAGTTAAAAGAGCTAGAGAGCTGTAATTTGGCATGCATACTCGTATGTACCATACGCAGTACAAGTTTATCATATTTTTCCGATACCACATCCAATAACTTTTTTATCGAGAATAATCGAAAATTTGATTTCGTTTTTTCAGCCTAATTTGAACACTTTTAGAACTGGAGACATCAGATTTACTGTGTATATACTGTTGATCGGTACGAAGATTTTGTAATTACACATTTTGGATACCACACCCCCATCGCCAACAATTTGTAAAACACGTTCTGAAAGTTTAATTAAGATTGTATGTCTACAAAWGAAATTATTCAACAAATAAATTTTTATAATATTGCCCACACTGCAGCGCAGCCCAAGCGCTGTCGCGGCTAACTGCGCAGTCAGCAGAGCGCGTGATAATACGTGCATGTGTATGCATGTGTGCATAAAAGAAGTGCAGAATGATTAGAATATCAGCTTAGAGGGTTCAGGGTATCTCCTAGTCGAGCAGTCTCGACTAGAGTCTTCTTACTTGTTTTAAAATAAATTCTTTTGTAGGGGAATACTCTTGGGCAAAAGGGGCGTGGTATCTGAAATCATTAGATCTGAAGTTTCTAGGTCACTATTCATATTACGCTTAAGGAACGAAATAAAATGGTATATTTTCAGAAAAACATTCTTTAATTTCCCACTTGCAATGAGTACAGAGTATAACCATATATCCTGCATATAGTCCTCAAATTATACACTTAGATTAATGTGTATTTCAGTTAATTAAAATTGTTGTATAGCGGCCTAGAAATCGGGGAGCGTGCCTATGCGAGAAATTAAATAAATAAAAAAATTAAGTTATACATATGAATTTTGATATTAAATTATATTTATTATTGTTTTTACAGAAAGTTCTTTAAAATGTGATTGAAGATCAGACTCTATCTTTGTGGATGTGGCTCCTCTTTCAATGGCAGGCAAGGAGCGTCGCCAAGCAGTATTAAATATCAAAATCAAAGAAATCTAAATTAAGATGTACCCAACAACCTGTTAAAACTGCCAATAATCCGAATTGTAATACTCAGCAGCCATCTGCGGAAAATATTTTGTTAAAAAACTGTCGAATCAGGCAAGCAAATAACAATATCGTTGCCATGCTGACATTGTTTATATGCAACAGCCAACTTATTTTTCGGAAAAACTTTAAAATGATTATTGCATTATTAGTGACGTTTTCCTTAATATGCTCATCGCAATCGATATTATTGGATGAACAAGTCGGCAGTGCTGTGATCTCGAATAACACGAGCTACCGAACAAGTGGAAAATCAATTTCAAGCAATAATACGGCTGGTAGATCTTCAGTAGCCGTAAACGGCTATCTCGATAAATTGGACAATTTGGAGCGAAGTGTTGCCGCTGTGTTGATTAAAGTAGCTTACGGAACAACATCAACTACAAAACGAAGTATTCCCGACAATAGCTACATTTTGGGCCTCACTACTGTAGCGACGCCACTTTTAACTACACTCAGGTAGGTAGATAGTAGAAATATCTGTATCTTTACAGATTGGAGGTTGAATTTATGAATATATATAATATACACTGCGCGTCATCAGGTTAGCGCCCCCCTTTACACTCAGCTTAAATGCTAAATATAATCTAATCCATCAGAGCTCTATCTTTCAATTTTTATACCCATTTACGAAAGTGAAATGTTTTGTGCAATGTCCGTCTTGCTGTCCGTCCGTTCGCCTATCCGTATGAAGGCAGTCTATTTCGTGTATATCTCCGATTTATAAAGTGTTACAATTTTCCCGATCCGCCCACTAGGAGCGTGGCAAATCGGAAAGTGTAGTAGTAAGTCCAGAATGCTGAATTTTACACGTGAGCTGATGTTACGATTCAATACTAGGGGCGTGACAAATCGGACTTGAAGATATAGTGATTTTTCGATGAGTGTGTGCACATGTATAGGAAAATAGCGCTGATCTGCTGCTAGACGGACAAGACGGACATTGCACAAAACCAATATACAGTGGACCAATAATGTCTTCGTACAACAATTTTTTTCTTTGGCAACGACTAAGTGATGAAAGATGGGCAAAAATTAAAAATTTTAATTTACAGATTTATTAACTAATATTTTAACAACAAATTAGAAAAAAGATAATTTCAATATTTTGCTTAGCATAAAAGTTATAACTAAAAATCATAAAAAAACGCGTTTTTGCCTCCCATAAAGTCTTCGTACAGCGTACTTTCCTAGAACTTTAGCCTCCCATGAAGTCTTAGTACAGCGTACTTTCCTAGAACTTTAGCTGCAGACAAAAAAAAAAATCATAGCGTTTTTTTGCGAATCAGGGTATAATGGTTTTGTTAAATGTATGTAACAGGCAGAAGGAGGCGTGGAAGACCCCATAGAGTATATATATTCTTGATCAGGGCGACGAGCTGAGTTGATTAAGACCTGTCCGTCTGTCCGCCTCTCCGTATGTTTGAACGCGTGGATCTCAGAAGATATATGAGCTAGTGACTTAAAAATTTTTTTCCTAGCACGCGCATAACGAGTTTTGCTTTAAATATCGATAAATTGTCCCGTTATTTTGTTATCGATTAAAAACGTTATCGAAAACCAGTAATAAAATTATATCTCCTACATCTTTAAAGCTAGAGTCTCCAAATATTTTATGTATACTTATATGCAATTTATACAATTTCGGTTTTTGTTAAAATTTACCCCCACCCCTATATTCACCCCCTCACCCTCACTTTTGTAAAAGGCGTATTTCAAATACTAGAGACTTGTGCTTTGGTAAATACCTGCATATCCATGCATGTTATAATTATAATGTAAAATTTCATAAAGATCGTATTTCCACAAAAAAAAGTTATTAAACAATGAAGTTCTCATAGTATGCGCACATTGCAGCCCATGCGTGTTTATGCGTGGGTGCTTGTGTGTGTATGTGTTTGTGTATGTGCGTGTTTCTTGTGTAAGCAGAAATACGCAAAAAATGATTGAAATAGCTATTGCTCGAAGGGTTCAGGGGATCTCGTAGTAGAGCAGTTCGACTAGAGCTTTCTTATTTGTTTTTTATATTCGTTTATTGGCAATCTTATTATACTACAAGTTGCAAGTTGAGTGGTGGCTCGGATAGCGCGCGATGCTTGCGGGACGGCCGTATGAAGATCATGATACTTCCAAGCGCAGTACGCCCGTCGTACATGATATTCCATAGGAGAGGCTCCAGCACTGAGCCTTGGGGTACTCCAGCTGACACTGTATGAGTTTGGGGACCCTCACTCGT